GCAACACACACACACACGCACACACCACGCTCTTATCCAACCATCCTCGAGTTTTGTCCCTTCGAAAAAATTAAACGAAAGATTCGAAAGATTCGAAATCGATCGTTATATAACGCGGAGAGGAATAATCCTCCCGTTCCGCGCGAGATCGAATCTAACGTTATCGTTTCTAACTAACTAACTAACTAACTCGAAGAAGTTAGGGTTTTCTAAAAGCATGACCCTTCTTCGAATGGCCCACATAGCAGGCCGTCTGGAAATTTTCACGCAACGAGTGGCCGCAAGGCGTGGCTTCGCGCGAATTTCTTCTACGCTCCCGTCTGCCCTCTGCTTGATTAGACTCGTCGCTTTCGAACGGGGGAGAGGAAAAAAAACGTTGTCGCTTATGTATAGATATATATATATATATAAAGAGAATCCGTATCGTTTCCAACGGATTCGATTTCCCTTATCGATTCAAGATTTACCGAAAACTGTCATCGAGAAATATATCTTTTACGATCTAAACGACGCGATGGTAAATGCGTTATCTGTCGCGACCGATGCCCGATTACGAGTATCTGAGATAAAAATAGATAGATAGACGACGAGATTGGAGAATATATATTCCCGAAACGAGAAACACTCGAAATTTCGCGAATCTCGAGCGGTTGAATCTCTCCCTCCCCTCCCCTCCCCGTCCATTTCTTTTTCCCGAATTTTTACCCTTCGAAAAACACGCGCGCCTCTCCGCGTTTCGTAGCGCGCGCCCGCCCTCGACATCGAGGTCGAATCGAAAAGGAGGGAGAGAGGGTTGATTCATAACAAAATAACGAAAAAAAAAAAAAAGGAAAGAAAGAAAGAAAGAAAGAGAGAGAGAGAGAGAGAGAGAGAGAGAAAGAAAGGAAGAAAGAAAAGGAAAAATTCGAAAGAGAGGAGAAAAATCGTAGCGGATCTACGTCGTAGAGGATCGAGAGGGGCGAGGGGGGAAGGGGAGAGAGGAAGAGTTGGAAGAGAGAGAGGAGTAGTAAGCAAGGCGTGCACAAGAGAAACAGGGTCCGGGCCAGAGAAACGTAGCCCCGGGAACAACTTGCATTTAGGCCGTTGCACCTAAGGTGGGGTTTGCCCACGCCAGTCCCCGGATCGTGTGCAAGTGGGTATAAGTTATATACCCTATTCGCGAAGAAAGCGGGCAAGTGGACCTAGCAACTAGAGGGGAGAGTGCGCTGCTGCTCGTGGTGAGCTGGCTTGGGGAACAGCATTACAGATGGGTGAGGAAGGGAGGAGGGGAGGGGGAGGGGGGAAGGGGCCAGGCAGCAGCAACGCAAAAGTTAAAAGCGGTAGAAGAAGAGGAGGAGGAAGAAGAAGAAGAAGAGGAGGAGGAGGAGGAGGAGGAGGAAGGTGATCGCGATGCCGATGCCCGATGAGGTTCGTGTGTTGGCGGTAGGTGTGTTGGTTACGTAGGAAAGAGTGGTTGTATAGCGGTGTAGAAGTTGGAAGCCGTTGCACTTCTGGGCCCTCTTCTGTCTCGTTCCCTCGCATCGGTGAGGGCGGTTAGAGGGACGAGGAGCGAGCGGCGCAACCGATGCATTTTGGGACTATTTGCCGGCGAGAGAGACCGATGGATACGTTTTGCAGCAAGGGGGAGGGGGAGAGGCAGGGGTTGGTGCGGAGTAGGGGTAGCGATGGCCGTTCAATTCTCTCTGCACTTCTCTCTCTCTCTCTCTCTCTCTCTCTCTCTCTCTCTGCAACTTTTCGAACGGGCCCCGCTCGTGAGAAGACTCGTGTCGTGTTCGAACGTCGAATGAATTGTAAATCGTTCGAGACACGTGGAAATGTCGACGCGATTCTCCCCTCTCTCTTTCTCTCGACGATAATATTTATATCGCCGAGCGATATACGGAAATTACTTTAATCGCTTAAATCGTTTGTTTATATCGATATAATATATATGTATCGTATGTAAAGTCATTTGTATTTCTTTCGTCGATCTATACGGATGTATGTATTATTCGTGAAAGTAAATTTTCGACGTTTCGAAAATTTTTACTTTTTCTTTTCTTTTTTTTTTTTGATTTTTTAACAATCGAAAAAAGAAAAAGAAAAAATCGAATTACGCGTTATACGTAATTTTCGATGCAACGATGGGAAAGTGATCCCAACGATGCGTCGTTGGGATCGAGCCCATCGCTAAGGTAGGGGACCGATCGTCAAAGGGAAAGGAGGTTCGAGTACACGCACACACGGGGACGTGGCAACCGGGAGAAGATGCCTAGCAACGCATTGGTGGGGAGAATTTTTGGTGGGCGGGGGCGCGAGCCCGGGGGGGAAAGCCTAGCATGCATTTTAGGTGCACGGCTCGGGCCCGGCCATCGAGGAGTGGGCCCGACGAAACGAAAGAAAGGAGCCTGCATCGTGGTGGCGGTGGTGGTGGTGGGGGGTACGTAGGGTTCACGGGAGGTTTTCGACTTCTTTGGCCGCAAGAACGCCAACTAGTTTTTACAGTGGTTCGCAAATTTTCTTCGTCCACGGACCCACGGTCCGTGCTTTACGTCTTACGCTTTCGTTCCGAAAATTTTCGCCCAAAACTTTCCGATAATTTACCGATAATACCTTTACTTGCTCTCCTCCATAACGACGCCAGCTTGCTTCGCGTCACGCGACCGAGATTATCGGGGAGATGTCTTATGCAAAACCGATCCCTCCCTCGCAATTAAAAAACGATCGTTTCTTGGCTCGACTCGACTCGGCTCGGCTTAGCTTGGCTTGGCTTGGGTTGAAATAGCTCTCCGGTGGAACGCGATATGATCGAGAGTCGGTGTCGGACAAGGTGTTCCCCGATGTTCGTGACACTCGATATCCACAACCCTAGCTACGACGATAAAGCGACGACGGTTACGCGATTTTCGGTGAAGCTGTCGGCACAGCTGTCGCGTCACGCTTTGAGAACGCGTCTCGAGGAGAGTAGTAGTAGTAGTAGTAGTAGTAGTAGTAGTAGAAGAAGAAGAAGAAGAAGAAGAAGAGAAAGCACCAGAGACGACGCGTCATAGGTGTACGAAATTTACGTGGCCTAAATAAAAGAATTCACGAGAGAGAACGCAACGTGCCTCTCCTCTATTGATTCGCGATAGATTTCGATCGAAAAAAAAAAAAGAAAAAAAAGAAAGAAAGAAAGAAATAATTCGAGAGAGATGAGGGGGAAAAATGACGAATTTCGAAATTCCTCGGGCAACCTCGGGCCCCTTTTACATGAAATATGCAACTATTCGCGAATTCGATTTTCGAGCGACATTCGACGCGTGAATTTAAAATCAGCGTTGAGCGAATATCTGGGCAAAATCCTAAAGCGACGAAACGCATCGAAAGTCGTGCGCATCGAATATTTCCATTTCCGACAAAGGATTTATCGATATCGCGCGAGGCGGGAAAACGCCGCCTTCGTGGCCGTCGTGATCAAGTCGGGCGCATCGAAGGCCCACGCTGTTGGCCAACGTAATTATTGCACACGCGCACACGCGAGCAATTGCAGAATTCTCTGCGCGTGCAACGAGCGGGGAACGCGAGTACACGCGAGTCGAGCGTTATCCGAGATTCGAGACGCGGATATAAGTGAATGAAGGCCGATAAGGCGTCGAGCCTATGGGAACGAAATCGACGGGTTTTCAAGCTCGTCGCGACGAGTTCGTGCGAGAGATTATTTATCGAGTAGATCGATAAAAGATCGAGAAGAAAGATCTCTCTTGGCTACAGATATCGCGGAAGAGAGATTTTTTTTTCTTTTTTTTTAAAGGGGCGAGGGGGAGGAATGCATTTCGAAGGGAGGGACGGGGCGATAGAATCGAAAGTCGACGCCGATACGTCTCTTTGACGCGTAAGAGGAATCCGTTCCCGACAAGTGCACTGAACGAACGACAACGTCACTGTGCAATTACACTTGCCACTCTAAGGCTAAAGTGTCTAAGGGAAAGTGCTCTTTTCGAGGGCGCCTGTAAAAGGGGCGCCCTTAACTTTCGCGAAATCCTTGACGAGGAATCGATGACATCCGCGGGCGCGGAAGGATCGATGCTCGTCGGGGGAGGGGGGCGGGGGAGGAAGAAGAAGAAATCGAGTCGGACGAGTTCGATAAATATCCGAGGCTGCTGAGTGAAACGGGACCGACTCCCTCCCTCCCCTCACCTTTCTCCTTTTGTCCCGGCTTCGAAAGGGCGGGTTTCTCATTTCCTCTGTCCGGTATCCTCCTCCCCCCTCCCGGTATTCGCGTTACTCTTACGTCTCCGTTCGTTCTATCGACCGACTCGTTCGATTGTACTACTCGCCGCTACTCGAGAGCTCGTTGTATCGTTGTCGAGCAAACCTACCTACCTACCTATCTACCTACCTACCTACCTACCTACCTACCTACCTACCCTCCAGCCTCAGACCTACCCACCCCGTACGCTTCTGCTCGATACTGACTACGTAGGTGTTTCGTTCGCCGCTCGAGCCACAAGTGGTGCACCTTGTTGCTCGCAATCGGAATAATAGCGGCTCGCCTTTGCCAACACGGACCGCACACCGTTTCTCCGTACCCTCGAACAATACCTAGCCTAGATATATATATATATAGATATATCTAGAATACGTCGAACATCGGATTCGTCACCAACTAACTATACGATACGATACGATACGATACGATACGATACGATTCTTCTTCTTCTTCTTCTTCGATTCGCGTTCGAGGAAATGAGACAAATACTGTTACTCTCGTTGGCAAATGAGAAAGAAAGAGAGGGAGGGATGGGGGAGAAATCTTTGAAAATAAACTAGGAATCAGCTTGCAGGATCATCCTAGGAGCGTAACCAGGATATTCGCTTAAAGTTCGTTTTCTTCGTCTCTCTCTCCCTCTCTCTCTTGTTTCTCATCGAGGTTGATATTCGTCTTCCTCTCTCGGCGTGCTCCGGCCTTCTCCCATCTCCCCTCGTAGCCGCTCCCTAGCCCAGGAACGCGAGTACAGACTCCTCGGTAAGGAGGCCATATTTCATAAGACTCGCTGCTTTCCTCCGGTTGCTTTCCTTTCCTCCTCCTTCTGCGCCGCCGCCTCCTCCACCCCTTCCTCCACCTCCCCCTCCTCCTCCTCCTGCTGGTGAAGCCGCTGTGGCTGCTGGTGCCTGTGCCTGTGCCTGTGCCTGTGCTGCTGCTGCCGCCGCCGCCGCCGCCGCCGCTGCTGTTCCAACTCCTCCGGTTCTTCTTTCCCTTTCCTTTTTCCTCTTTCGATGGTCGAACGGCCGAGCCAGCGGAGCCCCTGTGTGCCGCTGTCAGAGTTTCTAGCAACGCTTGCGCGACCCATTCCCATCTCGTTTTCCCCATCCAATCCCATGGCCGCTGCCAAGCTCAGTACTGCCAGCCGCCGATGTAATGTTTCTTTTATTGATTTTGCGGCGACCCGCGGAAATTATACGGCCCATGGATGTATGCACGCCCTCGTCTCGCCTCGTCTCGCCTCGTCTCGTCTCGTCTCGTCTCGTCTCGTCTCCTCTCGTGTCTCTCGATCTCGACTTCGTTCGCGCGCTTCGATACCGTCGTTGCTCCATGCCTCGCTATGTACGACGACCACCTCGATTCGTTCCGCTCCTCTCCAATTTTTCCTTCCCTATTCTCTCTTCGTAAGAAAATTAAATCACGAGAGAGAGAGAGAGAGAGAGAGGAATCTTCGTTCGAGCTTCGATCGAGTCTCGAGAGTCGAATAGAGGCGAGGATATCTCGTTTCGGATGAGCGACGTGGCGCGTCGACGTCGATAGGTCAAGGACACTCTCTACGGTTCTCGAGGTCAGGTCGACAAATCACCCTTTCCGGGCCGAACGCCCGTGAAAAAAGAGAGAGAGAGAGAGAGAGAGTGGAAAACAGGGGAGAGAGAGGATCCAACACCCTTCGCTCCCATCGGCTCCCCTTTGACCCTAGGAAGAAAAAAAAAAAAAGGAAAAAGGAAAAAGGGAGGAAAGGAAGGAAAGGAAACGAATCGCACGACCAATCATCCCCGGTCACCTCACCGCTTTCGTTCCCTCCTCGTTTCGACCGCGAAATTACGTGACTCGCCTTCGACTCGCGTTCGTATAAACGGGCGGATAGATATGCTGGAAAACGATCCCGCGTGTCGCGAGATTCCCTCTATCCCTCCCACCCCCTCACCGCTCTCCTTTTTCGACTACCATTTAACCCTGTCGCGACTAATTCGAAACGCGGCCGTTTTCGAAACCGGGAAAAGTTCGATGGACCAAACTTGATTTCGCTTTAATTAATTGAAACATATTTATTGAACCGATCACTTACACGAATTGCCGGCACCAGCAGCAACAATTAATGATTTTCGCTCCGTGTCCCCATGCCTCTCGAATCAACGACGGACCGTTAAAATTAATAAAATGCGTCTGGTGGAGCGGTCGGTCGGCCGCCGCTTCCCATATCGGTCGTTGTCGACGAAAAAAAAAAAAAAAAGAAAAAAAAAATCATTTTACATATATATCGTTTTTTCGCATACACATCGTTGCGCTCGGGCTAGGAAAAGGGGAGGAGAGGGGGGGAAAAAAAATGTATACAGGGTTGCAACGATGTTGCAACCTTCGATGTATGTAACGCGTAACGAACGCTCTATGCCGAATTGGGTAGATTAAGAGCCGGCTCGACTACTAATTGGCTGATAACGGCGCACAAACGGCCCGATCATCGCCGACCACCATCGCGTTTAGAGGCGGCCGATCAATCATCCCTGGCTCGTGTTTCGCCCGCTGTCCCGTTTCCTGTAGATCCCGTAGGCCAGAAACAAACTCGTCTCCCTCCCCCTGGCCGCGAATCCCGCGCCCACCGCATTTTCATCGTATCATTTCGTCCATCAGCGGCGAGTCTCGACGAGTCTCGACGAGTAGAGACAGAAAAAGGGGAAGAAGAGATAAAGAGGAGGTGGGGCAATTGAAACTCGCGGCAATTGAATTCCCGGAATAAAAAAAACAAAAAGGACTCCGCGATCCCGCGAAATTTAAAATTTGCCGGGATTTAAGTTTATAATATAATTCGTTCAAAGTTTCGTGACATTGGTGGGATTAATAGAGAAACGGAGTTGGATAAACGTTACGGGCGGTCGGCGATAAAGGGGGGAGGGGGGGAAGGAGCGGGGAGAGGGTGGAAAGGCGAGAGGTTGGCCGACCACGTGTGTCGGTGCGTGATGCTACCGGCGTCGGTACTCCGAGAGCGTACGTGACTCTCGTTTTCGCCGGGTGCCGTATAGAAAGCGAAAACGGGCTCCTACCTACATTTCGCCCATTCACGCAGAGAGCCAGAGAGAACGAGGCTGGAGGAGGGTGGCCGAGGGGCGCGAGGAAAGGCTGGCAACGGACGAGGCGAGGGGTGGCGGTGGAAAAAAAAAGAGACAGAGAGAGAAAGAGAGAGAGAGAGAGAGAGAGAGAGAGAAAGAGAGAGAGAGAGAAAGGGAGAAGAAAAAAAAAAGGAAAAAAAGAAAAGAGAGAGAGGTGGAAAAAAAAGGGAGGAAAAAGAGGGAAAAAGAAAAATAGAACGAAAGGAAAGGAGGAGGAAGGAGGAGGAGGAGGAGGAGGAAAAAGCGTGGAAAAAGGGAAAAAGCAGGACGCTGGTGGCAGGCGGCAGGCAACGGTGCCACTATCGGCAGCGACGCGGCGAAAAAGGGTGTTTTGCGGAGAGACACCGAGCGTACGGTGAACCGTACACACTAATAGGGTGGCGAGCGTACGGATAGGCGCGGGACGAGGTGGGTGCGTAGGCAACGTTTGCAAACGGATACGCGTCCGTTCGAGGGTGGTCGAGGAGGGGAATCGCGAAAAAGGGTGTAGGTTCGTCGCGGATGGGTTGTAGGGCAAGGGACGGTGGGGTGGAAACACGCGACGACCGTGGAAGAAAGATGGAGAGTTGGGGGAGGGGGGGAGGCGAGGAAGGGACAGAGGTGAACGACGCGAGAGGTAAAGAGGAAACTAGGGAGCGGAGAGGAGCGGAAAGAGAGCTGGTGGAAAGAGAAGGAGGAGGAGGAGGAGGAGGAGGAGAGAGAGAAAGAGAGAGAAAGAAAGAAAGAGAGAGAGAGAGAGAGAGAGGTAGAGAGCGAAGGGGAGAGGAAGAGGGTAGAAAAGAGAGAAAGAGAGTAGTTGAACGCGGGGTAAAAAGGGTGACTAGGGGGCTGGAACGAGCGGGAGCGGGATGGGTTCGTTGCCAGGGATGAAGTACGTAGGTATTGATCTATTTAAAGCCTAGAGTTCCAAACGAGGTCCTTATTAAAAAGCGGAATGAAACAAGGGGCGCTTCGCCCCCCCGCCATCCCCACAACCCTCGCTTCTTCCTCCTCTCTCTCGCACGGCACGCCTTTCGGTTTCTTCCTTCTACTTTCTTCTCGCGTTCTCCATCGTGCTCCTCGATGCCATAGGGTCGGCTCTCCCTGTAAGGGAGAAAAGTTGCGTAGCAGACATTCGGCAGCCCTTTGGATCTCGTTTTCTCTCTCTCTCTCTCTTTCTCTGTCTTTTTCTCTCGAGTGCCCACCCACGAGTCGAGGATCGAGGATCTTCTGGACTTTGCGGCTCTCTTCGTTGCAAAATCGTTCCCTCCTTTTTAAACTCGTCGTCGAGTCGAAGAAAATAGGCCGACGATTAACTAACGACGCGATCTTTTCTTGCCCGATTTTCCTTTGCCCTGAACTATCGTCGTTCGATGTAGTTCGTAGCAATCCGAAAATTCTTAAAAAACGAACGAAACGAAAGGAACAAGGACAGAGAGAGAAAGAGAGAAAGAGAGAGAAATGGATATTGGAGAGGAAAAATCGGGATCGAATCCCGATGCGAACCCGATCGAATAATAAATGGTGGATCGCGATGGAAGAACGATGGCCAGAGGGGAGTAAAAGCGGGTTTGGGATGGCGTGAGATGGAAGAGACGAGGGAGGGTTTCGGGTGTCCTTGAACCGGAATCAGGGAAGACGGAGGAAGCAGAGGAAGCAGGGTGGAGCGCGTTAGGCCTGGCAACTCTCGGTCGGATATAAAATTCAGGACTTTAAAGCATTTTAGTATCGATCCTCGTTTTTAGTACTAGACGCGAAACTCCCTCATCGGCGGTCGGCTGGTGGGGATGTACCTGGACCGCGATGGTGGGAGATTCAACATCCCTCTGGCAGCCAGCCCCTGTCGCGGGTTGGCTTGCCAGAGAGAGCGATGCGTAGTTACACTGGATGTATAAGTGTGTAAATGCATAATAAAACTCGCGCGCTGAGCATCAGAGGGACGTAATTCCTGCACCCCTGATTTTACTAAAGCGGCAAAAAACATGCATTTCCATTTGACGCGTTTCACCCCGGCTGCCTATCGCGCTAGTTCCACCCTTCGCCTCCTCCTCGTGCCTCCTCCTCCTCCTCCTCCTCCTCCTCCTCCTCCTCCTCCACCTCGCGCCACCCCACTCCCCCTCGAAGCCTCCGGCGTTCGCGTAATTCGATGAATTTCGTTTATAAATTAACATGACCATTTATAATAATTAGTCGCATTACCGTAGAAAGTATATACCTATCGTTATTTTGCCGTAGCAACGAATGCATTTCATAATTATCTCGACAGTTAAACAAACACGGAGGAGAGGTCTTTCTGTTTCTATGATAATTGCGTCCCCCTCCTCCTCCTCCTCCTCCTCCCCTCCCCTCCCTCCTCCGCGCCCGGAACTTGCTCCGGTTCGCTCGTGTGTGTATAAATATTCGATTAATAAATTAAACGAAAGAAAACGATTGTTAATTGCGCGCGTTGGCGCGATATCTAAGCGATAAACGATGGAGATCGGAAATGCCATTGCTCGAAATATATCCGATTGAATAATATCCGCGAGATTCGCGAGGAGCCCGGGGTTTCTTACTTACGATCAGGAGCAGAGACACGCGCAACAATTTCGAACGATTTTTCGTCGTCTTCGTTTCATCTCGATTCTCGATTCTCAACGAACGCGATGGAGATTTTTTTCATTTTTTAGGGGGAAGGAAATCCGATCGATCGATCGATCGATCGATCTATTCGCATTGTACGCGAACGATCTTCCCCCCCTCCCTCCCTCCCTCCCTCGATCGTAGGAGATCGTGTCGATGACACGTTGGACAAGATTTTCGCGCGTTTCTTCACGTATCACACGCGCTGCGAGGCCTCAACCCTTCCCTTCGATACCGTGAACCGTTTTCTACCCTTCCCTTCTTGCACGCACCGTTGACCGGCCACGAGCGTTGCATTTCTCCCCCTGGCCTGGTTTTATCTATTAATAGCGGAACCTCGAGCTTTCCTTTCCCGTGCGTGCGGAACGAAGGAAAGACGCGTGTT